CTCTCGTCTCATTGCGAAATGGCGAGCTTTTCAAAACGAATAATACATTTCCCATCACCCCCCCCCCTCACCCCCTCCCCCCACCCACCCCCCCCTTCCCAAAAGGGGATTGGATTTGGTTAACTTTGGCGCTTATTCTGATTGGTTCAAACACGCGTGCGTGAGCTCAAATCTCGCGTGCGGAGTGGGAGGAGATTCCCCGCTAGGTGGCAGTGTTAGGTGCCACTGTGTTAGGGACGCCAATCAGAAGAAGTGCCAGTGTTGCCGGGAGAATCAAACCGTTATCTGGACGATGTCACGCGAGGGACGGTGCCCCCGCCACGGGGTTGTTGTAGGGGGGACACAACAGTTGCTGACATTGTCTGGTTGTGTCGGTGGTCATCAATCGGGCCCTATTGTAGTCTAACTTTCATTAGTGTATGGGACGCCACTGTAATTACGAAGACAGACATCGCTCCTAGTAGACCTGGGGTCTAAAAAAAATAGTTTTCAAATGTTCATCAATCCCTCTCGTTCGATGTGTTGACTTCACATACTTGATATTTGAAAATGGTTGCTCACAGTCGTAAGCTTTTCCATGGATGCTGCACACGGATGCCAACTTTTCCGTTATCTGAACGTCCAAATTGACACCAGAAATAAACACGAGACGTTGTGAGAGATCTGTAGACTCATCCAGTGCCAGAGATTGCCACATCAAGTTCCTAGCTTTCTGACGTATCTGTAGCACCATGTTCTCTCCAGATTATTCTGTTCCCCACACAACTGAACTTGCCGAAGGGTTGTTAGTTCCAATCGCGGTGACTACGATTGTTAATGTCCCCGTGTGTTTCCAACACTCCTCTTTCGTTCACCCATTCACTACCCAGTTTGTGGTAAGTTATCGGACTATAATATATTAGAGGGAACAGGCTTAATAGAAATTGATTCTTATTTTATACTTTTTTAAAACGAGATTTTCCTAAAAGCAACAACCTCAGATTAGTTGTTATGTTTTTTTTTTAAATGATGTCATCATTTGCTAATTAATTCTTATTTAAATACATCTTGTTTTATGCTGATCTGAGTTCAAGTTTGAACCTTGTTAAATTTCACCAGTAACTTTATTTTTACCAGTGATAGACTGTGATAATCTGATCTGGACGTCCACTCAATACAAATTAACATGAATAACAAATACACGTCTGCAAAACATAAGTGACCTCAGATTGTATGATAAACGCCGGTCATCTACTTATAGACGTTCACATTTTTTTGACGCCAGCCTAACTCGATCCCACTAGGCACTGCCATGTGAGTAGTTCTCAATCCCACTAGGCACTGCCATGTGAGTAGTTCTCGATCCCACCAGGCACTGCCATGTGAGTAGTTCTCGATCCCAACAGGCACTGCTATGTGAGTAGTTCTCGATCCCACTAGGCACTGCCATGTGAGTAGTTCTCGATCCCACTAGGCACTGCCATGTGAGTAGTTCTCGATCCCACCAGGCACTGCCATGTGAGTAGTTCTCGATCCCAACAGGCACTGCTATGTGAGTAGTTCTCAATCCCACTAGGCACTGCTATGTGAGTAGTTCTCGATCCCACTAGGCACTGCTATGTGAGTAGTTCTCGATCCCACTAGGCACTGCTATGTGAGTAGTTCTCGATCCCACTAGGCACTGCTATGTGAGTAGTTCTCGATCCCACTAGGCACTGCTATGTGAGTAGTTCTCGAGCCCACTAGGCACTGCTATGTGAGTAGTTCTCGATCCAACCAGGCACTGCTGTGTGAGTAGTTCTCGATCCCACCAGGCACTGCTATGTGAGTAGTTATTGTATTAATTTTACAAACTGTATTGTTATTTATTTATTTACTATTAAGATACCATATTGTAAGATTTTGAAACGATTTTGTACGATTTTAAGGAGTTCAAGGGTAAACAAGATCCGGCCCGCGGCCCCTTAGTTTGGTGACTCCTGAATGTAGCGGCTCGTCAAGTATCTTTCAATAAATCTACGGATTATGGCCATGTCTAACATTTAATTCAATCAAAGAATTTTTTTACTGGCATCTGTCCGTCCCAACGTGACGATGGTGGAGACTTCGCTGGATCAAGGTCACAAGGCCTGGCATTTTTGTTTTCCTATAGGACTATAAGCTGGTTCCCTAGAAAGCAAATCGTCTCTCTCCACGCACCTGAATAACCCCAAAGAGAACATCGTGCGTGGATGATGCAGCTTGGCATCATTTTTTTTGCGTCGCAAGACTTGTCGGAATCTTTCATTGTATTACTGTCTCCGCCCACGGGACTCCATCTCCGGGTTTTGAATTCAGAGTCTCCTTCTCTTGGATGAGTTGCCGGCCAAGGTTAACGGGTTCCATCCAACCCGGAGTGCTGAAGTTTTTGCTTGACTTGGTGTTAGGTGGGGATCGAACTCCAGACCACATGCTTGGGGATTTCAGATATCTTTCCTTGTCCCCCCGTTTTGTTTCACTATACGTGAGTCTCATGGAAAAAATGTGTTTAACTCATAAAGAAGAAAATAAACACAATCTTTTGGCTTGTGCTGTGTTGCCATCCGTGAAAGCTGTACAATTTACCCCTAATTATTTTTAAACAATTTTTTTTTAACTTATTGTCTTTCCTTGAAGTTTTTTTTTTTTAAAGATAAATGTGTAACCGGTGTAGTTACGGCAAAAAAAAGGGGGGGGGGGGAACCCGCACACGCTCCCTCGGTCAGGGGGACGACTGGCATAAACTCACTCGATGAGGGGGACAACCCGCATACACTCCCTTTTTTTCCCGGAGTATTTACCACTGGGCAGTGTCCATAGTGACCATCAGACATGAAATCAGAATATCACACTCTGACCAGTCCCATGTCATTCCTGGATCAAATCAGTCTTCACACTCTCAGCGCCAGCCATTCTCCGGGCGACTCACACGTGTAACCGCGTGACCAGATTCCCAGGGGCTCACCCCCCAAATCAGATATTTTAATGTTGTGTGCGCATACTGATAGTGGTCAACACTCGGCGGGCGTGTCCGTCAACTTTCACGTGTTGGTATTGACCATACCAACTCCTGGTCTAGGGACTCCGAAGACTGATGTACTCTTGGTCTAGGACTCAGAAGACTGATGTACTCTTGGTCTAGGACTCCGAAGACTGATGTACTTTTGGTCTAGGGACTCCGAAGACTAATGCACTCTTGGTCTAGGGACTCCGAAGACTGATGTACTCTTGGTCTAGGACTCCGAAGACTGATGTACTTTTGGTCTAGGGACTCCGAAGACTAATGCACTCTTTTCAGATAGTCTTAGGCGACCCCTGGAAAAGGGCCGTGCGACCCCCAAAGCAGTCGTGACCCAAAGGTTCAGAACCACTAACGTAAGGAGATGAGTTGAATTACAGTGGATCTCAAACAGTAAGAGGTGTGTTGAATTACAGTGGAGTTCAAACAGTAAAAGGTGTGTTGAATTACAGTGGATCTCAAACAGTAAGAGGTGTGATGAATTACAGTAGCTCTCAAACAGTAAGAGATGTGTTGAGCTGCAGGGGATCTCAATTCGGGAAGTTGAGCATTTAATAGTCAATAATTTGTAAGTAGACCAAGAGGAAATAAAAAAAATATCATTTAATAATTTTTATTTTTTTTGCACACACACAAAAAAAATGTTGCATAGAAGTTCCATATACCCTGCAACTCCTGCAGGATCCCTCAAACATTTAAGGAGTCAAAAATTGTGATGAGGAAGAAAAAAATAAACTAGCATCTTTGAATGCAATGGGCATGACACCGAAAAGTGGCAAGTGAGGACCATTTAAAAGGCACGCGACGGCTCTGCTTGTTGTATAACACACATGGCAGGAGAGAGGTGGGTGGGTGGGTGGGTGGGTGTTTGTGGGGGGTGGAGTAAGGCGCAACATCTTTACGATGAATATTTCTGCTCAATCTCTGGTGCCCCCTCACAGTACTCCGGTCTTCGACATCACCACTGTCGGGAGACGCATTTGACTAGACTAAACTAACACACTGCGCCCTCTTTGAATACAATTAATTACCCTTTTGTTTCTTTCAGTTTTTCAAAAGCAGATAAGTTGACATGCCATAAAGATATACATTTTTAACCCAACCACACTTTCATGGAGAATATATTCATACAATAATAAATAAATAAATAAATAAATAAATATATATAAACACTTCCATTCTTCTACAGAAATTATAATAAATTAACGTATATTTTATTGAGCGTATAATTTTTATAGTGAAAATAGCATGACATAATAATTTTGGCGAATCGTGGAATCGTTCTGATGGAGGCACTTTTCAATAATAATCACATTTGACCTCGTGGTTCATCTTGGCACCAGGTTTACATTTGAAAGCCCTCGAAAACTCCGGCAGCTGCCCCAGCGCCATGTTGATCCTCGTATCGTCCGACAGCGTCCCTCTCAACATCCGGTTCAAGGTCCAACGGTCGTTCTTGTCATAGCAGAACGTCTGCGCATGCGCCAAGAACACCATCTGCTCATTGGTCAACCCGAGCCCCGGAAGCATTTTTTCCGTCTGCGCCAGGTTTTTCATCCAATCGTTGTACGCGATCAGAGCCAGGCGAACCCCGTTCGTTCTGGCAATGGCGGAGGGGGTTTGACGGGCGGCGTTGACCTTGACCGTCCTCGACACACCGTCGGGAAACACGTAGGTCTTCGTGATATTGTCGTAAATGTCGTAGACGCACTTCCGGACGGGCTCGTACGCCATCAGCGAGCCGTTGGACCACCAGGTGGCGTGCTCCTCCAGGAGGTTGCCGTTCTTGTCGAACCACTTCCCCCACTCGTCGACCACGTGGTGGAGAAAGCGGCCAAGGATCGAGCCGAGGGAGCCGAAGGTGGAGTAGTGAGGCTGCTTCTTGGAGTAGATCGGGAACTGTAGGATACCTGTGGCGTAATGGGGAAAGACGCAATGAGAAGGTCGTAGGTTTACTTTCATCTTTGGTACAAGGGCCCACTGTCCCCCAAGATCCACCCACTGTCCCGCATGATCCACCCACTGTCCCCCGTGATCCATCCACTGTCCCCCGTGATCCACCCACTGTTCCCCATCATCCACCCACTGTTCCCCACGATCAACTCACTGTTCCCCACGATCTCACCACTGTTCCCCACGATCCCACCACTGTTCCCCATGATCCACCCACTGTCCCCCGTGATCCACCAACTGTTCCACGCGATCCAGCCACTGTTCCCCACGATCTCACCACTGTTCCCCAGGATCCCACCACTGTTCCCCACGATCCCACCACTGTTCCCCACGATCCACCCACTGTTCCACGCGATCCCGCCACTGCTCCCCACGCTCCCCCCACTGCTCCCCACTCTGTTCCCCACGATCCCACCACTGTTCCCCACGATCCCACCACTGTCCCCCATGATCCACCCACTGTCCCCCGTGATCCACCAACTGTTCCACGCGATCCAGCCACTGTTCCCCACGATCTCACCACTGTTCCCCAGGATCCCAACACTGTTCCCCACGATCCCACCACTGTTCCCCATGATCCACCCACTGTTCCACGCGATCCAGCCACTGCTCCCCACGATCTCACCACTGTTCCCCACGATCTCACCACTGTTCCCCACGATCTCACCACTGTTCCCCATGATCCACCCACTGTTCCACGCGATCCACCCACTGTCCCCCGTGATCCATCCACTGTCCCCCGTGATCCACCCACTGTTCCCCATGATCCACCCACTGTTCCCCACGATCTCACCACTGTTCCCCAGGATCCCACCACTGTTCCCCACGATCTCACCACTGTTCCCCATGATCCCAAAGCCAGATACTCTACTCTACATTTCAGCTAAGTGTTATTATTTTTGTTATTGAACTCTGTTTTCCCTGTTGTTTGTTCGTCCGTGAAAGCTTCTTGCCGACACGTTGGTATTTTTGTTGCGTTCTTTTTTCTTCCCTTTTTTCAGTTTTTCCCATTCTTTGTACAACTTATTTCCTTTTTTTAATTTTTTTTTTTAAAACCTGTTGCAGTCTCTCCCCTCTATCACCAAAGATTCCCTAGCAAGGGACATAAACATAAAATAAATAACCCTCATGATAAATAAAAGTACCGTCCCTTTTCAGTTCGAATGTTCACCGTAGAGAATTTACTCTAAACTCCCACTTCAGCTATTCGAAGGCTGTCATGTTTTTTTGTTTTTTTTTTATGCCAATCCCCGTCACCCTAGAGGACTGCTATCTCTAAACGGTGCAACACTTCTATGATAAGGTGTTCACGACTGATAGATACATGGACACCGGTCCTACAGCCGAGTAGATAGAAAGGTGACCCACCGGCCGGCGCGGCGATCTCGTTCCAGAACCAGTAGAGTGACATGAACGTGGAGTACGTGGGGTACTGCCATTCCTCCCGGTCCTCCCCCACTTTGGCCAGCTCCTCGCTCCACAGGTCGCGCTTGTACTGGTTGGCGCTGAGCAAGTTGCCGAAGTGGTCAGTGATGTTGACGGTCAGGCCGTTGTAGATCTGGTCGACCTGGTGGTGGGGATGTAACATGCATATTATAGTTGAACTGAAACCCTCGGAAGAATCTAACCACAAATGTCTGCCAAAGTGACCAGGATCTTACCACTTCTGTCAGGACTGGTCGCTCATCCAGTCAGTCAACTTACCAAGGCCTGGTGCCTCATCCAGTCAGTCAACTTACCAAAGCCTGCTGGCTCATCCAGACAGTCAACTTACCAAGGCCTGGTGGCTCATCCAGTCAGTCAACTTACCAAGGCCTGGTGGGCTCATCCAGTCAGTCAACTTACCAAAGCCTGGTGGGGTAACCCTTCTCTAAATTCTTATGAAGCATGGTAGGAATGTTTTAGCCAGTACCTTGGCTGCAATCGACAAAATATTGTATGACACGGTAAACGGATGTTTCCACAGTAGATGAGCCCTCTTGAAATCCTGTAAAATCATCACTTGCTGACATATATGTAAAACATAAACTGCTGGTTAAATTTTCGGTCAAAGATATACTCATTTTTGGTATATTTTAACTGTTATTGATGGATCACGTTGTGCTTTGAGGGTTCTTCTATGTCTTGATACTGAAACTCTANTGTAATTCTGTAATTAAAAAAAAAAAAAAAAAAAACAGTAACTGACCTAGTAACCTTTGCCCTAGTTTCCCCTCGTTTAATGAATAATTTATGGCGGACTGCTTGAAGCAATGTCAAGGAAATAAATCGTGAAACAAGACAGTGTCTATGTCAAGATACGAATTTTTTTTTAAAATTTAGTTTTGCATTGTCTGCTGAAGTAGGCGTTTCCTCGAAACGTCAACTTAAATAACTTATTTGTCTCGTTTTTTCAAGCCTAATCATACCTTGTTCCAGTATTTAGTTACTTTCCACCCACTCGTTTGCATTTGTTTTGATGTCAGTGCTGCTGTTTGTGTTGAAGTTTGACCTAATATTTGAGTTGATGATAGTGTTGATAATTGGGATGAAATTTGTGTTGATGTTAACTAAATCGGGGGACATAACGAGTGAGGTATGTCACAAACACAAAGTTAGTTGCTTAAGATCTGTTTTAAAACTTCACACAAAGAAAACAGTGGCTACCATCAGAGTTTCCTGGACTTCAAATCTTATTGATACATTTTATTAGAGGCCTAAGAGTCGTCGATAGCGCGGTTGGACTCCGTGGACAAGATCAATTTTTACGCTCCTTTCAACTCTAAAACCTATTATTTTCATCAATAAAATAAGCAAATTCCATTTTGGCGACCTTACCAATCTGGCTACCGGGGAAATAGGCCCATTTCAAAGTCTGTGCAGAAATGTAGAAAAGCAATCTATGTGGCCAAAGGATTGGAGTTAAATGAAGACTGACATTAAATATGCTTTAGTTTAAATCAGCGGTTCTCAACCTGTATGTCCCGATCCCTTTCAGGGGTCGCACGACCCTTTTCTTGGGGTCGCTTCAGACCAACTGAAAACACATGTGCTATACATTTATGAAGTAGAAACGAAAATAATTTGTGGCTGGGGGTCGCCACAACATAAGGAGCTCTATTATAGGGTCGCGGCATTAGAAAGGTTGAGAACCACTGGTTTAAATAATTATTGAAAGTATTTTCTGCACAGACTTTCTTTGAGTACTGCGATTTGCGCTGCCGAGCCATGAGTGGCGACGTCATCACATTGGTCGCGTTTCTCTATCACACAGTGGCACAGGTCACAGTTCAGAGGTCACAGTTCCGATTGCATTGTTGACAGAGTAAAAGGAAATTCGTGAAAAGAAACGTGCTTTAAATATCAGTGTATTTGTGTCTATCGGGGCCTCCATACCCCCCAGGATTGTCATTTTTTTACCCTAGTAGGGGTATTTTACCCCGAGTCGTCAATCCATTCTCTGGAGCATTGACACGATTGAACTTGGATCAATGTCAAGGAATAAGACAGGCTGATCATTTATTGATCTCCTACCTTCGATGGCTCCGAGCACCGAGTTGACTTGAAATGACAAACTATGAATAAGCACGGCATGGCTGTATTAATATTTAATGATATTATAAGGGCTACGGGCGGATACCACCCCCCCCCCATTCCTCCCCCCCCCCCGGGCCGCCAGCCCTGTCCGTTTTCCGCTCTTCGATACACCAATGCGATTTACGACTTAAACAAAATTAACATCGCCATTTCACCAAAGGAAATTACGAGCTTAAATCATTGAGCGTCATTTCGACTTGTGTTCTGGTTCAAGCAATAAGAAAAATTACTCGGGGTACGGGGAAACCCTAAAATAAGATTAAAACTAGAGACTCTCAATCTCAAGGCTCTCCCAGACCTGTATACTCTTACGATTTTGGCACGCAATGTACGATTTTGAGGTGTATACATTATATATATACTTTATATTTATTTTTTTACTATTAAGATAATGTATTGAATGATTTTGTCATGAAATTGTACGATTTTAAGAGTTTGACAGTGAACAGGTCTGCTCTCAGTGGAAACGTTCGCGTCTTTGTTCTGTCTTTCTTTGCTGTGTGTTTTATTTCTCATTAAGTCTGGCCAGCACAACTTATAAAGTAAGGCGGGCCGTAATACTTTATGAAGAGCTTCTTCTTCTTCTTCTATATGTTAAGGGCCCAAGATCAATTTATTGATCATTTTGGCTCCTTTGCATGTAGAGGGGATTTGCAATGTTTCTGTGCCTGGTGCTGATGAGGATATTTCAATGATTACAAGTGCTACTTTGTGAAGGAATCATGCACTGGGGGTTTGAAGGCTTGAGGCAATAGACACAAATGTGTCTAGTTGTGTCGCCTCAACTTTTTTTTTTCTTGAAAGCTTGTTCCAGTCCCTGATTGTCTTGGGCAGGAATGAGCAGTTCCTATACCGGCTTCTTGCTGGTATGAGCCGGAATTGCCTGTCATGGCCTCGTCTCTGTCTATAGGGGAGAGGGACGTGTAAGATTATGTGTATGACTATTAGTTAAAAGGCCGGCATGTGGGGTGTAGGTCTGTCTGTAGGACTATTGTTTAAAGGTCGGCATGTATGGTGTAGGACTATGTGTATGACTATCGTTTAAAGGTCGGCATGTAGGGTGTAGGAATATGTGTATGACTATTGTTTAAAGGCCGGCATGTAGGGTGTAGGACTATGTGTATGACTATTGTTTAAAGGCCGGCATCAAGGGTGTAGGACTATGTGTATGACTATTGTTTAAAGGTCAGCATGTAGGGTGTAGGACTATGTTTATGACTATTGTTTAAAGGCCGGCATGTATGGTGTAGGACTATGTGTATGACTATTGTTTAAAGGCCGGCATGTAGGGTGTAGGACTATGTGTATGACTATTGTTTAAAGGCTGGCATGTAGGGTGTAGGACTATGTGTATGACTATTGTTTAAAGGTCGGCATGTAGGGTGTAGGACTATGTGTATGACTATTGTTTAAAGGTCGGCATGTAGGGTGTAGGACTATGTGAATGACTATTGTTTAAATGCCGGCATGTAGGGTGTAGGACTATGTGTATGACTATTGTTTAAAGGCCGGCATGTAGGGTGTAGGACTATGTGTATGACTATTGTTTAAAGGTCGGCATGTAGGGTGTAGGACTATGTTTATGACTATTGTTTAAAGGGCGGCATGTAGGGTGTAGGACTATGTGTATGACTATTGTTTCAATGTCGGCTTGTAGGTTCTAGGACTGTCTGTAGGACTATTGTTTAAAAGCTAACATATTCAATAGAAAATGAGTAGTAACCTCTTTTTTTTTTTTTTTTTTTTTTTTTTTTTTTTTATTTTTTTTTATTGTTAAGATTGGGAACAGGGGGGGGCTTTTTCAAGGAGGCGGAACTAGGGGAAAAAAAAAAAAACAACCCAAAAAATTACCCCCGTTTAAGCCTCAGTATTTTAAATTGCTTTAGTTTTCCACCACTGCACAACCCTCTGACGCATACGACCGTCTGCTGACTCACCGTGTCTTTGCTCTCCTGGCTGAAATGACGATTGACGTACAAACTGCTGAGGGCGTCGCCCATGTAGTACTTGGCTGTGGCCATGCAGTACTTGTACACTCCGGAAAAGTCTTGCCTGTTGTACATGTCGTCGTACATCTCTCTGTTGGCGTGGATGTACTCCCAGGACAGCTCCTATGGTTGGATCAGGGATTCTCGTGTTATTGTACAGAAGAACGCCAGTGGTTGGCTTTCAAAATTTACACATTCTTACCGGGACGAACAACTGTGTCAACAGTAACCGAACCTTACCTGCGAGTACGACTCTGTCAACAGTAACCGAACATTACCTGACAGTACGACTCTGTCAACAGTAACCGAACCTTACCTGCGAGTACGACTCTGTCAACAGTAACCTAACCTTACATGCGAGTACGACTCTGTCAAAGGTGGCAGACACCTACCTGGACGCACAACTCCGTCAACAGTAGCCGAAACTTACCTGGACGAACAACCTTTTCAACAGTAGCCGAAACTTACATGGACGAACACATTTTTCAACAGTAGCTGAAACTTACATGGACGAACACATTTTTCAACAGTAGCTGAAACTTACATGGACGAACACATTTTTCAACAGTAGCTGAAATTTACCTGGACGAACACATTTTTCAACAGTAGCCGAAACTTACCTGAACGTACGTCTCTGCCACCCGCCAAATCAGGTAATTGTGCAACATCCGGTTCCGGTCAGACGCAGGAAGGGAGGAAATCATGTTCGTCACGTTCCTGAAGTAATCCACGTGGCTCAACACGACCTTTGTTGACCCCGTGACCCTGGCCGTGTTAAAGAGGTAGGTCAGCTGCTGCACCCAATCAATGACGTTTCCAGTGTCGGTGTTAAGTTGGGTCAAGGTCACCTAGAAGTGTTATTATAATCATCATACAGCAACGTCAGTTAGTTTAAATAATCAGGGACGTCTACCCCGACTTTGGACTTGGTTAATGCTGTATTTGGCTCATGCCAGTTAGGGTCACTATTTGGGTCATGCCAGTCAGGGTCACTATTTGGCTCATGCCAGTCAGGGCCACTATTTGGGTCATGTCAGTCAGGGTCACTACTTTGGTCATGCCAGTCAGGGCCACTATTTTGCTCATGCCAGTCAGGGTCACTATTTGGGTCATGCCAGTCAGGGTCACTATTTGGGTCATGCCAGTCAGGGTCACTATTTGGGTCATGCCAGTCAGGGTCACTATTTTGGTCATGCCAGTCAGGGTCACTATTTGGCTCATGCCAGTCAGGGCCATTATTCGGGTCATGCCAGTCAGGGCCAGGGTACTATTGGCGCCATTTGGTGTTTGATTCGGAAGTTCACTATGTATACTAGTAATACATCAATTTAGAATTTAAAAAAAAGAATATTGTTGACCATTCAATAATAAAATTGATACCGAGCGATTGTAGTGCCCAGTGCCGCTTCTGAGGATTGTTGGTCAGGTTAAATAACGGGATCTGGCTAAATAACGGGAATTTGGCTAAATAAGGGGGTCTGGCTAAATATCGGGATCTGGCTAAATAAGGGGGTCTGGCTAAATAACGGGATTTGGCTAAATAAGGGGGTCTGGCTAAATATCGGGATCTGGCTAAAAAAGGGATATGGCTAAATAACGGAATCTGGCTAAAAAAGGGATATGGCTAAATAACGGGATCTGGCTAAAAAAGGGATATGGCTAAATAACGGGATCTGGCTAAATAACGGGATCTGGCTAAATAACGGGATCTGGCTAAAAAAAGGGATATGGCTAAATAACGGGATCTGGCTAAATAACGGGATCTGGCTAAATAACGGGATTTGGCTAAATAACTGGATCTGGCTAAAAAAGGGGTATGGCTAAATAACGGGATCTGGCTAAAAAGGGATATGGCTAAATAACGGGATCTGGCTAAAAAAGGGATATGGCTAAATAACGGGATCTGGCTAAAAAGGGATATGGCTAAATAACGGGATTTGGCTAAATAACGGGATTTGGCTAAATAACGGGATCTGGCTAAATAACGGGATCTGGCTAAATAACGGGATCTGGCTAAAAAACGGGATCTGGCTAAATAACGGGATCTGGAACTGGCTAAATAACAGTATCTGGCTAAATTGATAAGTTGACCTTAAATCAGGTGGGAAAAAATGGAAACGAATGTGAAGACTTGAGCACTATTTTGTTGACGGACCTTGTTTGAGTCCAGGTAAGGGTCATCCTGGTAGTCGGAGCCAGCGGCGATCACGGCCAGGTTGTACTCGATCGTGTAGGTGTCGTTGACGAACTCATCCAGCGCCATCTCCAGCGTGCCGTTGTCAGGGGGCGCAACCTTCATGGAGACGGCGTCTCTGGCCAGGAGTGCTCCGACGCGCCGTATGAACTTCTTGTAGTCGTCCCTGTACTTCTGTGTGTTTGGATTCGTGTACCTGGAACACGGCAGAAATGGGGGCCAGGAATACTAAACAATGGAAGCCTTGGAAGTTTGGGCGGTGGGGCTTAATAGCAGGGCAACTATACAGTTACTAGTAATATTGCCCGTCAAAATTGATGTCTGCTTACATTTGTTGAATATTTTATTTTGTATACTTCAGCTAATTATAATCGTCTACAAGAAAGAAGAGTTGCGCCTTACCAGGACCAGTACATCCACTTGCCGGTACCTGCCGGGGCCAGGTGAATGACTTTCTTAGTTTGGTCGTACCAGTCTGTCCCGACCTGTGGACTAACAAACGAGTCATGTAGGAGGACAGCATGAAAAATTCAGGTATCGGGGGTGACCGACTTAACAGCTACTTCCACGCTGCGACTTGTTGGTTTCTTTCACACAGCGGTTGGTTGAAGACAAAAATCTCAGTCGTGAATCCATGCTGAGAATCCACGACACAGACTTCCAGCGTAGGTGTTCACACTGAGCACACGACACAGACATCCAGCGTAGGTGTTCATACTGAGCACACGACACAGACATCCAGCGTAAGTGTTCACACTGAGCACACGTCACAGACATCCAGCGTAGGTGTTCACACGGAGCAGGAACAACACTGGGGTTATATCATATGCAGGGCTACCACACCTTGGGAAATTTCCCAAGATCTTGGGAATTCACTACCCCATTCAGGACCAAAACTCACTTTTTAAAAAAAAATTCCTCAAGATCCTTAAAAAAAAAAAAAAACTGTTATATATTTTCAAGATCTTGGACATCTTGGGTAAATTTTTGACCAAATCTTGGGAATTAAAAAAATTGAGTGCCAGCCCTGGTCATATGATGCATGTAACAGTACATTTTTGTGTGGGGCTATTTTGATGCTATACAGAAGAGTTGGGGCAAATAAGAAGATATAGATGTAACGGGCGAGTGTCAACAGCCATGTTGGAAAAATGGTGTGATGAGTTCGTACCATAGTTAAATGTTTGATCATTGCGAGGACTTTAGTAAAGATAATTAATGAAACACGAGTGAACACACACACACACACATATATGTTACAATGAAGATCTTTTGTTAATGTGTATCGTTAAAAAAAAAATATAAAAATTGCTCACGCCAAACTAAGCAACGTGCGGCTGCATGTGGGTCTTTAAATAAATAGATTCGCATTTTTTCTTTTAAAAATGATTTTTACCAATCATCACCCAAGCACGCAGAGTCAAAATTAAAACTTAAAATCTTTACGAACTCGTAAATAGATTAGATTTTAAAAAAACAACAAGACCTCGCTTCTCTAAAATCTTTGCCTATCTTGCTCACTCAAGTAATACTATTAAACTTGAGATATATTTCACCGATTTTAACGTGGACTCGACATTATGGCTACATATGAAGACAACAAATTAGTTTGTAAGCAAGTCAGCTGATGTGAAAGTCATCATGCATTTTTTTTTAAACGTCTTTCCTATTTATTTATTATTTTATTTTGTTTGTTTCTTTGTTGTTGCGTGGCGACTCCATTTTCTACCGGTTGCTATGATACCAACCTGTCGGCTCATGACAACGGTGGCGCATTAATAAATGTATGCCGTGGTTATTTTTTATTTTTCAAATAGCCAGCATTAGCCAGCAGACTGTATATGCTGCAACACTAAAAAAAAACCTGTAAGTGAAAATGAAATGTGTTGGCCACAGTTTTCACGTGGTCACAGGAAGTCGAGACCCTAGGGGACACATTACCTAAATTAATGTCATAAATGGAATATCAGATACGATAAATACATATATATTAATAAACTACCGTGGGTGAGTAGAATGCGTCCACCCAGAATTGACCTTGAACTTTCTTCAGCGCCGTGTTCAAATCCCAGCTGCTCTGCCAGTTGCCCAAAACTTTCCATCCGCCGAGCTCGGGGACGACCTGCGTCAGGAAAGGGAGACCTGAGGGAGAACGTCGTGAAATAGAAATTAAAATGTCAGGCAAGGGAGACCTGAGGGAGAACGTCATGGAACAGAAATTGAGATGTCAGGAAAGGGAGACCTGAGGGAGAAAGCCGTGGAATAGAAATTGAGACGTCAGGAAAGAGAGACCTGAGGGAGAACGTCGTGAAATAGAAATTAAAATGTCAGGCAAGGGAGACCTGAGGGAGAACGTCATGGAACAGAAATTGAGATGTCAGGAAAGGGAGACCTGAGGGAGAACGCCATAGAATAGAAATTGAGATGTCAGGAAAGGGAGACCTGAGGGAGAACGCCATGGAATAGAAATTGAGATGTCAGGAAAGGGAGACCTGAGGGAGAACGCCATGGAATAGAAATTGAGATGTCAGGAAAGGCAGACCTGAGGGAGAACGTCATGGAACAGAAATTGAGATGTCAGGAAAGGGAGACCTGAGGGAGAACGTCGTGAAATAGAAATTAAAATGTCAGGCAAGGGAGACCTGAGGGAGAACGTCATGGAACAGAAATTGAGATGTCAGGAAAGGGAGACCTGAGGGAGAACGCCATGGAATAGAAATTGAGATGTCAGGAAAGGGAGACCTGAGGGAGAACGCCATGGAATAGAAATTGAGATGTCAGGAAAGGGAGACCTGAGGGAGAACGTCATGAAATAGAAATTGAGATGTCAGGAAACGGAGACCTGAGGGAGAACGTCATGAAATGGAAATGGAGATATCAGGAAAGGGAGACCTGAGGGAGAACGCCATAAAATAGAAATTGAGATTTCAGGAAAGGTAGACCTGAGGGAGAACGCCATGAAATAGGAATTGGGATCAAATCCAGAAGTTAGGCGGTTGCCATGGTCAGTGGTGATCATCACGCCGGACAGATATATCAGAATGTTGAATAGAATGTATAGACTATAAAGCTAACGACTCTATTGGATCTCAGACTCCTAATCCCATTCCCACCAATTGTCAAAAGCTCACCTCGTTTCTTCTTCTGTATGTACAGATCGTCGTACTCATCTCGTTTCTTCTCTCGTGTGTACAGATCGTCGTACTCACCTCGTTTTTTCTCTCGTGTGTACAGGTCGTTGCATGCCTGGAAGAACTGCTTGAGTTTTCTCTCTGCCGCAAAGTCGTGCATCTGCGAAATGGGCTGCTCCATCAGGTCAATCAACCGGTCCTGGTTCTCTTGGCTCAGGTCTCGGAGTACATTTCTGGCCACTACCGGTCACGGGGGTGGGTGGGTTGGGGGGGGGGGGTAAGTAAACGAAAAGGACACAATTATAAACCATAACAAGGGTAAAGCGTTTCAAGATATTACCAGCCCTGTAGGCTAAATAAATAATTAAAAAATGAAATTTAAACTCTATATCTTAAACCGTTATGTGGTGGGTGTGGGGGGGGGGGGTAAGTAAACGAAAAGGACACAATTATAAACCATAACAAGGGTAAAGCGTTTCAAGATATTACCAGCCCTGTAGGCTAAATAAATAATTAAGAAATGATATTTAAACTCTATATCTTAAAACGTTAATAAGCGGGCAAAAATAAAATAAGAGAGTTAAAGCAAGTCTCTCTCTATTCCGAGAAATGTTTTTGATCAAAATTTTGTTTTTGCATTTCTTTCAGTATGAATGGTTAATTTCATTGCTTGCACCGTAGCCAGGCTTATTGCTTGCACAGTAGCCAGGCTTATTGCTTGCACCGTAGTCAGGCTTATTGCTTGCACCGTAGTCAGGCTTATTGCTTGCACGGTAGTCAGGCTTTTCAATTTAAAAAATAAAGAAATAAATCCAATCACGTCGAAGAAAATATCCACCTGTTCTTATTCGAAGTTATCGTGTCTTTCATATGTCCCCCCTCCCCCCAACCCTCCCCTCCCCTGCGACCCCCTCCCCTGCGACCCCCCTCCCCTGCGACCCCCCTCCACGAAAACTTACCACCGTTGGGATAAAACGTGCGGACGGCGTTGTAGTTCCCGCAGGCGTACTCGTAGAAGTCCTCACAAGGATCAACGCTTTTGTTCCTAAGCTCCATGGCCCGCGTTGCCGTCTCCATGCAACCGATGTCTGTACAGAACTTATTCTCTATGGAGAGATGGTCGAATTTAAGAACTTAAGAGCAAAATCGATGCAAGAGAATGTCGGTTCTTAAAACTGAGGTCTGCAACAACGTTAAGATATCTCATTCTCAAATAGGGGTTGTCGATTCATGTCGGAAATCTATTAATAGAACACCCGGGCATACCGCTTGGACAATATCATTAAATGGCGGAGAGATATTCATAAAATATCCTGGTATTCCGGTTTGGTCAATCTCTCAACAGCTGTTGGGTACTTCTACGTCAATGTGAGCCGGCGTAATGGATCTTAACCTTGGACGGAAACGTGTTGACAACTTTATTTTAAAAATTGTTACTGATATATATATATATATATTTATATATGTGGAAATATGGATCCAGAAAACTTTCGGAGACAAAATGTCTAAACATAGTTTTTTTTTTGCAAAACCAATTTCAGCTCTATAGAACAATCTGAACATATAGAACTTTTTGCTTAAATTGAACAAAGGTGGGAAACAAATGGACTGAAGATCAAATAATCAGTGCCTTCAATATTATTCCTTATTTACCAAAGTTGAGGCCAGTGTCATAAGTCAGTGTCATGGGTCAGTGTCATGGGTCAGTGTCATAGCATGAACAGCATGGTCACAGGAGCCGTTTAAAAAAAAAAACTCGACTTTTAAAATTTTTTTATAACAGAAAACCAAGACGTCTCCGCAATACTGATTCTAACTCTTGCTCATAATGACTTGCCAACAACTGTTTCCGTGCGACTCACCAATAAATGCCGCATGACTTGCAGACGAAACTTCCGACAGATCATCCTTGGCCTTCCCCAAGAGCCCCGCAAAGATCACGCACAGCACCAGCAGTAGCACGGCGATGGCCGCTAGAATGGTCTCCCTCAGACCAAAACTCCACCGCTTCAGAGTGATGAATTCTAATATGGGCGACTTGTCGTACGTCTTGAACTCATCCGCCATCTTCCTGCTTGTCTTCAGTCCAGATATCCGGTAGGCCAACGTTGACAGTAATGTATTTTAATCCAATAGTTCTGCGCCGTTCAAAAGAGTTTGAAAGACGCTTTCATCTCCAGTCATTGATTTCTCCAAAGACCGCAAATTTTGTTGGATCGGTCAGTCAGTGACTCTCGGTGACGCAGGTCTCCCGCCGTCTGGTCGAACGCCTAGCAGACGAATGGTCGCACCGACTCCTTTAAATTCACCACGGCACCGGAACATCACGTGGAATTTCACGGCACATTTTCGGACTTTCGGAGCAGGGCCGGATAATCGGGAGTGGGATCAGCCAGATTTGAAATGCGGTGAGGTCAGATTTGTACAAGTACAAGTCGCGTGGACAAGTTTATCAATTAAGTCGAAAGCAACCAACTGTAGCCGACGTTGAGAGTAAGTGAACGCCCCAAGTTATTGTAAGATTCTAAGCTGCCATGTCCCGCGCCCTCCCCTCCCCCACCACCCCCCCCCCTTTCCATTGTGAAGTGTACATATTTATAACGTCAGGAGGAAAGTTAATGGATTATAAATGACAAAAATTGGATGACAAGCCAACGAGCAGTCGATACATGTTAAATTCCACTTTCCATTGTGAAGTATACATATTTATAAGGTCAGGAGGAAAGTTAATGGATTATAAATGACAAAAATTGGATGACAAGCCAACGAGCAGTCGATACATGTTAAATGTTGTGTTACCAGCAACGCGTTGGTCAGGAGAGAAGCGCGGAAAGAAAGTCCCCTCCCCTCCCCCTTATGAGGGACCCAAAATGTGAGGACCCCCGTCGCAGCTATGAGGGACCCCCCAATGTGAAGACCCCCCACCGTCCCAGTTATGAGGGACCCCCAATGTGAAGACCCCCGTCGCAGCTATGAGAGACCCCCCAATTTTAAGACCCCCCACCGTCTCAGTTATGAGGTTCCCCCATTGTGAAGACCCCCGTTCCAGTTATAAGGGCCCCCATTGTGAAGACCCTCATCCCAGTTATGAGGTTCCCCCCACCAGTGGCGTATGAAGGAAGGTGTCGAGGGAGAGATCCGCTCCGGGTGGGATTTTTGGCCAGCTGCATTTTTTTTTCCGTGGGAGTGATAGCAAAAAGCATGTCCCGCCTTGGGTGGCACTTACTCTAGCTACGCCCCTGCTCCTCCCAAATGTGGAGCCCTACCTTTAAAAAAATGAGGTTCCCTGCTCCCAAATGTTAACAAACCTAAACTAATAGAACTGGTTTCGCTCCCAAAAGAGAAGCCATCACAGATTGAGCCCCATCCCCCTTTTTTTCCCCAAATGATCCCCCCCCCCCTTGTTTTCACCCAGATCTGGTACCTCATACAAATGTGAATTCCTGGTGATATAACACAACTGCCTGCGATATCCCACACTCCCGCTGATCACCTTACGCCCCTTGACTTACAGGTTCATCGCTTGCCCACCAAACTGGTGTCACGTTTTGTCCACCCCTTGTCATATTTACGCACTGTGAAATTGTGCACCCTCTGTCAAATACTTCTGGCATCCCCATGTCTATATTAGAAGGGATTTTGATTTTGATTATTTACCGTATAAGAACATAAAACCATATTGACATGACATAAACCATATTAACATAACTTATACCATATTGACATAAAACCATTTTGATATTTCATAAAACCATATTGACATGACATAAAAAAAAATTGACATGACATAAAACCCCATCGGCATGACATAAAACCCCATTGGCATGACATAACACCAATGGATATGGCATAAAACCCCATTGTCATGACATAAAACACCATTGTCATGACATAAAACCCAATTGGCATGACACAAAACCCCATTGGCATGACATAACACCATATGGATATGGCATAAAACTCCATTGTCATGACATAAAACCCCATTGTCATGACATAAAACACCATTGTCATGACATAAAACCCCATTGTCATGACATAAAACCCCATTGGCATGACACAAAACCCCATTGTCATGACATAAAACACCATTGTCATGACATAAAACCCCATTGTCATGACATAAAACACCATTGTCATGACATAAAACCCCATTGTCATGACATAAAACCCCATTGTCATGACACAAAACCCCATTGTCATGACATAAAACCCCATTGGCATGACACAAAACCCCATTGTCATGACATAAAACCCAATTGGCATGACACAAAACACCATTGGCATGACACAAAACCCCATTGGCATGACACAAAACCCCATTGTCATGACATAAAACCCCATTGGCATGACATAAAACCCCATTGGCATGACACAAAACCCCATTGGCATGACACAAAACCCCATTGTCATGACACAAAACCCCATTGGCATGACACAAAACCCAATTGTCATGACATAAAACCCCATTGTCATGACATAAAACCCCATTGGCATGACACAAAACCCCATTGGCATGACAAAAAAACCCATTGTCATGACATAAAACCCCATTGGCATGACATAAAACCCCATTGGCATGACACAAAACCCCATTGGCATGACACAAAACCCCATTGTCATGACATAAAACCCCATTGTCATGACATAAAACCCCATTGGCATGACATAAAACCCCATTGTCATGACATAAAACACCATTGGCATGACACAAAACCCCATTGTCATGACATAAAGCCCCATTGTCATGGCATAAACCCCCATTGGCATGACACAAAATCCCATTGTCATGACATAAAACCCCATTGGCATGACATAAAACCCCATCGGCATGACATAAAACCACATTGGCATGACATAACACCATATGTATATGGCATAAAACCCCATTGTCATGACATAAAACACCATTGTCATGACATAAAACCCCATTGGCATGACATTATACCCCATTGGCATGACATAACACCATATGGATATGGCATAAAACTCCATTGTCATGACATAAAACCCCATTGTCATGACATAAAACACCATTGTCATGACATAAAACCCTATTGTCATGACATAAAACCCCATTGGCATGACACAAAACCCCATTTTCATGACATAAAACACCATTGTCATGACATAAAACCCCATTGTCATGACATAAAACACCATTGTCATGACATAAAACCCCATTGTCATGACATAAAACACCATTGGCATGACACAAAACCCCATTGTCATGACATAAAACCCCATTGGCATGACACAAAACCCCATTGTCATGACATAAAACCCCATTGGCATGACACAAAACCCCATTGGCATGACACAAAACCCCATTGACATGACACAAAACCCCATTGTCATGACATAAAACCCCATTGGCATGACACAAAACCCCATTGTCATGACATAAAACCCCATTGGCATGACACAAAACCCCATTGGCATGACATAAAACCCCATTGGCATGACATAAAACCCCATTGGCATGACACAAAACCCCATTGGCATGACACAAAACCCCATTGGCAAGACACAAAACCCCATTGTCATGACATAAAACACCATTGTCATGACATAAAACCCCATTGTCATGACATAAAACCCCATTTTCATGACACAAAACCCAATTGGCATGACACAAAACCCCATTGTCATGACATAAAACCCCATTGTCATGACATAAAACCCCATTGGCATGACACAAAACCCCATTGTCATGACTTAAAAGCCCATTGGCATGACATAAAACCCCATTGGCATGACATAAAACCCCATTGGCATGACACAAAACCCCATTGGCATGTCATAAAACCCCATTGGCATAACACAAAACCCCATTGGCATGACAAAAAACCCCATTGGCATGACACAAAACCCCATTGGCATGACACAAAACCCCATTGTCATGACATAAAACCCCATTGTCATGACATAAAACCCCATTGGCTTGACTCAAAACCCCATTGGCATGACACAAAACTCCATTGTCATGACATAAAACCCCATTGGCATGACACAAAACCCCATTGTCATGACATAAAACCCCATTGTCATGACATAAAACCCCATTGTCATGACATAAAACCCCATTGTCATGACATAAAACACCATTGGCATGACACAAAACCCCATTGTCATGACATAAAACCCAATTGGCATGACACAAAACCCCATTGTCATGACATAAAACCCCATTGGCATGACACAAAACCCCAATGGCATGACACAAAACCCCATTGGCATGACACAAAACACCATTGTCATGACATAAAACCCCATTGGCATGACACAAAACCCCATTGTCATGACATAAAACCCCATTTGCATGACACAAAACCCCAATGTCATGACATAAAACCCCATTGTCATGACATAAAACCTCATTGGCATGACACAAAACCCCATTGGCATGACACAAAACCCCATTGTCATGACATAAAACCCCATTGGCATGACACAAAACCCCATTGTCATGACATAAAACACCATTGTCATGACATAAAACCCCATTGTCATGACATAAAACCCAATTGGCATGACACAAAGCCCAATTGGCATGACACAAAACCCCATTGGCATGACACAAAACCCCATTGGCATGACACAAAACCCCATTGTCATGACATAAAACCCCATTGTCATGACATAAAACCCCATTGTCATGACATAAAACCCCATTGGCATGACACAAAACCCCAATGTCATGACATAAAACCCCATTGGCATGACACAAAACCCCATTGGCATGACATAAAACCCCATTGTCATGACATAAAACCCCATTGTCATGACATAAAACCCCATTGGCATGACATAAAACCCCATTGTCATGACATAAAACACCATTGGCATGACACAAAACCCCATTGTCATGACATAAAACCCCATTGGCATGACATAAAACCCCATTGGCATGACACAAAACCCCATTGGCATGACACAAAACCCCATTGTCATGATATAAAACCCCATTGGCATGACATAAAACCCCATTGGCATGACACAAAACCCCATTGGCATGACATAAAAACCCATTGTCATGACATAAAACCCCATTGGCATGACATAAAACCCCATTGGCATGACATAAAACACCATTGTCATGACATAAAACCCCATTGTCATGACATAAAACCCAATTGGCATGACACAAAGCCCAATTGGCATGACACAAAACCCCATTGGCATGACACAAAACCCCATTGGCATGACATAAAACCCCATTGGCATGACACAAAACCCATTGGCATGTCATAAAACCCCATTGGCATGACACAA